TCTCACATATTGATACATGGCTATCATGTCTCCTCTCGTCCTTCTCTTCTTCAGGCTAAGCATGCCCAGCTCTTCATAGGGCTTGTTCTCCAGACCCTTGGTCATTTTAGTCGCCATCCTCTGGACACATTCCAGTTTGTCAACATCTCCCTTCAATTGTAGTGCCCAGAATTGGGCATAGTATTCCAGATGTGATCTAACCAAGGCAGAATAGAGGGATAGCATGACTTCCCTGTATCTAGACACTAGACTCCTTTTTATGCAGGCCAAAATCGCATTGGCTTTTTTCCCGTCACATCACATTGTTAGCTCATGTTTAACTTGTTGTCCACAAGGACTCCAAGATTTTTTTTATATGTCCTGCTCTTGAGCTAGACATTGCCTACATTCTGTATCTTTGCATTTCATTTTTTCTGCCTAAGTGGAGAGTCTTGCATTTGTCACTGTTGAACTTCATTTGTTAGTTTTGGCCCATCTCTCTAATCTGTTAAGATTGTTTTGAATTCTGCTCTTGTCTTCTGGAGTATTGGCTCTCCCTCCCAATTTGGTGTCGTCTGCAAACTTGATGATCATGCCTTCTAGCCCTTCATCTAAGTCATTAATAAAGATGTTGAACAGGACCGGGCCCAGGACGGAACCCTGAGGCACTCCACTTGTCACTTCTTTCCAAGATGAAGAGGAAGCATTAGTGAGCACTCTCTGTGTTCGTCCACTTAACCAATTACAGATCCACCTCACCGTAGTTTTGCCTAGCCCACATTTGACTAGTTTGTTTGCCAGAAGGTCATGGGGGACCTTGTTGAAGGCCTTACTGAAGTCCAGATATGCTATATCCACAGCATAGCAGTTAACAACAATCTCCCATGGGTGCTCATAATACAAAATCTGTGCTGGAAAATTCTTACACTGCGTAAGAATTTTCATTCATGTTGGGTTTGATAACCCAATTATGCACACTTCTTCATATTCTGCGCAGAAAGAACTTGAGGTAGAAACAAACATTTTTAATGTGAGAGGAAGATTCCTTTTGATTCTGAGAAGTAGTACAACACAGATATAACCTCTAACTGTCCCAGTTTGGCCGGGATGGCTATAATTAATTCTGCCACATTCCAGTGGCTAAAATGTCCCAGGTCCTCTCTCTTCCTCCTGCTTCTCCACATCATCCTCAACTTACTTGAGCTGTTGCAAACTGAATTCAAAGTACAAAATGCACTCAGTTAATTCAATGGGCAGAGGGAGACTCCTGACTTTCCCTTGTGCACTCAAGCAAAAGTAAACTTCTGCAACCTCTTCAGGTTTATCTATTCTTATTATGGCCATCTTGACCACACACTGATATGCTTGGCTTCATGTATCCTGGTTTACATCTGTGAAATGTTGGAGGGTATGAACCAGGCATGTAGCCAGGCTTGAGGGGCTTCAGCCCCCGCCCCCCGAAATTCTCATGGTGGTTCGCGAAAAGGCCTTACTGGTGCATTATTTAAACTGTTATGTTTATTCATATCATGATCTGATCACCATACTCAATATATCCCATATGCGTGGGGGCATTGGGGTAACGATACAAAAGGTTTTCTAGGCTAGACCCTCTTTCACTCAGACTCAGCCCCCCCAAAACTCAGTAGAAGTTCTTTGGACATCCATTCTGGCTTCTTTGCACTTGTCCTATTTTTTCTCTTTGTTGGCACGGTTTGCAATTGCGCCTTGAGTATTTCACTCTTGAGAAATTCCCATCCATCCGTAACTCCCTTGTCTTTTAGTATCTGTGTCCATGGAATGCTGCTCAGTGTTTCCTTCATTTTTTGGAAATCAGCTCTCCTAAAGTCCAAAATGCGGGTTTGACTTGTCTTAGTTTCGGCCTTCCTTTGTACCTCAAATTGCAGGAGCACATGGTCACTTGCCCCTAAGGATCCTACCACTTCGACCGCATCGATCAGGTCCTCCGCATTTGTTAGGATGAGATCAAGAGTAGCCAATCCCCTTGTTGCCTCTTCTACCTTCTGGACCATGAAATTGTCTGCAAGGCAAGCGAGGAATTTGTTGGACTTTGTACTCTTGGCCGAGTTTGTTTTCCAGCAAATATCGGGATAGTTGAAATCGCCCATGACTACTACATCTCTTTTCTGTGCCTGTTTGGTCAACTGTTGGCAGAAGACTTCATCAAGTTCTTCCTCCTGGCTTGGGGGTCTGTAGTAGACGCCTACAACGACATCTTTTTGAGTCCCAGTTCCCTTGATTCTTATCCAGATGATTTCAAGCTGGTTTCCCAGATTGCTGTCTTGAATCTCTTCTGCAGCATAAGAGTTTTTGACATATAAGGCTACTCCGCCTCCTCTCCCCTTTGTTCGGTTTCTGTGAAAGAGGTTATACCCCTCGATATCTACATTCCAGCGATAGGAGTCATCCCACCAGGTTTCAGTGATCCCTATGATATCATATTTGTGGTGTTGTGCTAAAAGTTGGAGTTCGTCTTGTTTATTTCCCATGCTCTGTGCATTAGTGTAAAGACATGTGAGCCCCTGGGATCTTCCCTTGAGCTGTTTAATTGGGATTATTGTGCTTTTGGTACTTGGTCCTTGTTGTGTTTGTGCAGCCCTCCGTTTAGCCTTCTGGCGATTCCCAGACATTTTACACAGTAAAGATTGTAGGAAACTTATATGTATTGTGGAGACCCCGGTGGCGCAGTGGGTTAAAGCCATGAGCTTCTGAACTTGCTAACCTTAAAGGTCGCAGGTTCAAATTCGGGGAGCGGGGTGAGCTCCTGCTGTTAGACCCAGCTTCTGCCAACCTAGCAGTTTGAAAACATGCAAATGTGAGTAGATTTTATATGTACACTACATATAAAATCCAGATTATCTACTTTGAGCTGGATTATATGGCAGTGTAGACTCAGGTCCCATCTACACTGCATATAAATTCCAGATTATCTACTTTGAGCTGGATTATATGGCAGTGTAGACTCAGGTTCCATGTACACTGCTGTATAAAATCAAGATTATCTGTTTTGAGCTGGATTATATGGCAGTGTAGACTCAGGTCCCATCTACACTGCATATAAAATCCAGATTATCTGCTTTGAGCTGGATTATATGGCAATGTAGACTCACTGCCATCTAAAATCCAGATTATCTGCTTTGAGCTGAATTATATGGCAGTGTAGACTCTGGACATTTATACACTGCCATATACAATCCAGATTATCTGCTTTGAGTTGGATTATATGGCAGTGTAGACTCCGGTCCCATCTACACTGCATATAAAATCCAGATTATCTACTTTGAGCTGGATTATAGGGCAGTGTAGACTCAGGCCCCATCTACACTGTATATAAAACCCATATAATCTGATTTGAACTGGATTATATGGCAGTGTAGGCTCCGGTCCCATGTACACTGCATATAAAATCCAGATTATCTGCTTTGAGCTGGATTATATGGCAATGTAGACTCACTGCCATCTAAAATCCAGATTATCTGCTTTGAGCTGAATTATATGGCAGTGTAGACTCAGGTTCCATCTACACTGCATATAAAATCCAGATTATCTGCTTTGAGCTGGATTATATGGCAGTGTAGACTCAGGTTCCATCTACACTGCATATAAAATCCAGATTATCTGCTTTGAGCTGAATTATATGGCAGTGTAGACTCAGGTTCCATCTACACTGCATATAAAATCCAGATTATCTGCTTTGAGCTGGATTATATGGCAGTGTAGACTCAGGTTCCATCTACACTGCATATAAAATCCAGATTATCTGCTTTGAGCTGGATTATATGGCAGTGTAGACTCAGGTCCCATCTACACTGCATATAAAATCCAGATTATCTACTTTGAGCTGGATTATATGGCAGTGTAGATTCAGGTCCCATCTACACTGCATATAAAATCCAGATTATCTACTTTGAGCTGGATTATATGGCAGTGTAGACTAGGTTCCATCTACACTGCCATATAAAATCCAGATTATCTACTTTGATCTTGATTATATGGCAGTGTAGACTCAGGACATTTCTACACTGCTGTATAAAATCTAGATTATCTGATTTGAGCTGGATTATATGGCAGTGTAGACTCAGGTCCCATCTACACTGTATATAAAATCCAGATTATCTACTTTGCGCTGGATTATAGGGCAGTGTAGACTCAGGACACTTCAACACTGCATATAAAATCCAGATTATCTATTTTGAAGCGGATTATATGGCAGTATAGACTCAGATCCCATCTACAGTGCATCTAAAATCCAGATTATCTGCTTTGAGCTGGATTCTATGGTAGTGTAGACTCGGGTCCCATGTACACTGCATATAAAATCCAGATTATCTGTTTTGAGCTGGATTATATGCCAGTGTAGACTCAGGTCCCATCTACACTGCATATAAAATCCAAATTATCTACTTTGAGCTGGATTATATGGGAGGATAGACTCAGGTTCCATCTAAACTGCATATAAAATCCAGATTATCTGCTTTGAGCTGGATTATATGGCAGTATAGACTCAGGATATTTCTACACTGCTATATAAAATCTAGATTATCTGCTTCAAACTGGATTATTGGGCAGTGTAGACTCAGGACACTTATGCACTGCATATAAAATCCAGATTATTTACTTTGAGCTGGATTATAGGGCAGTGTAGACTCAGGACACTTCTACACTGCCATATAAAATCCAGATTATCTGCTTTGAGTTGGATTATATGGCAGTGCAGACTCAGTGCCATCTAAAACCCAGATTATCTGGTATGAATTGGATTATATGGCAGTATAGACTCTGGTCCCATCTACACTGCTGTATAGAAGTCCTATTATATGTTTCCAACTGGATTATATGGCAGTGTAGAAAGGGCGCTTAGGTTACACACACTAAACGCCTTAACTCTCTTGAAGGGAGGCAAACGTTGCTTTTTCCTCCTCAGCCTCGCACAAAGGGGCCCCTCCCTCCCTCTCTCTCCGCTTTCCTGCGCCTGAAGGGAAGGGAAACGGCGGACATACCTTCTTTCGGGCTGAGGCGGCTCCAGAGAATGGAAAGGCAGTTCAGAAGCAAAACCTATGGCCAGGAAGAGAGGGAGGGCGTCGTGCTGCGGGTCCGACTGAGGGGAGCTCGTTCCCGCGCGGAGACACCGCCTTCTGCCCACGAGAAAGAGAGCCTCCTTCCTTCCCTACGGGATAGCCCGCCCTGCCGCCACCTGAGGCGCTGGGTCTGAGGCGGGGCTCTCCCGGGGAGGAGGCTGTCCTTCCTGGCCCCTCCACCTGCGCTCCCTGCCACTCCCACTTGGGGGCCGCCCAAATCCAGGGGCTCCCTCCAAGGCAGTCTTCATAGACCTGTCAGCAGCTTATGATACTGTGAACCACCGCCTCCTCCTGAGAAAAATGTATAATATCACAAAGGACTGACCACCTCACCCGCCTCATAGGAAACCTGCTACAAAACAGGAGCTTTTTTGTTGAGTTCCAGGGCCAGAGAAGCAGATGGCGGAAACAGAAGAACGGCCTGCCTCAGGGGAGTGTGCTTGCTCCATCCATGTTCAACATCTACACAAATGACCAGCCACTGCCAGAAGGGACAGAGAGTTTCATCTATGCTGATGATCGTGCCATCACCGCTCAAGCAGGGAGCTTTGAGATGGTTGAACAGAAGCTCTCCAAAGCTCTAAGTGCTCTTACTGCCTACTACAGGGAAAACCAGATGATCCCCAACCCATCTAAAACACAGACATGTGCCTTTCATCTCAAGAACAGACAAGCATCCCGAGCTCTGGAGATCACCTGGGAAGGAATCTCACTGGAGCATTGCAGCACACCCAAATATCTGGGAGCAGAAGCGGCCCTAGGTAATTTTCAAATGTAAGCAAACAATATTTTGGCGCCCCCCCACCAATCATTGATATATATTTTCTGTTCGTCGTGGGAGTTCTGTGTGCCATATTTGGTTCAATTCCATCATTGGTGGAGTTCAGAATGCTCTTTGATTGTAGTGAACTATACATCCCAGTAACTACACTTGCCGCACTTGCTCCCTTGCCTGGCCCGCTTTGGGTCCGGAGGCGTGCCTGAAGACCCCGGCGTGTGCACCAAAAGTCACCTCTTCTCCTGACTTTCTCCTCAGCCATTGGGACCAAGAGAGAGAGAGAGAGAGAGAGAGGTGGAGATGCCCACCTTTCCTGAAGGTAGGCGCAAAAACAAAGGAGGGAGCGGAGGTGGGAGATACCTCCAGCCGGAGGGGCTCTCTCTCTCTCTCTCTCTCTCTCGGTCCCAATGGCTGAAGAGAAAGTCAGGAGAAGAGGCGACTTTTGGTGTGCATGCTGGGGTCTTCAGACACGCCTCCGGACCTGAAGTTGGGAAGGCGCGGTGGCTCCGCCCCTTGGCTCACCTGCGGATTGGGGAGAGGAGAGGAGGCAGGTGGAGTGCCAGGGGATCGGGAAAGGGAGCCGGTCATGGGGAAGGGATCGAACACAGAGAATGATTGAGCGCCGGCTCTGCTCGCGCACCCGGTGGCCGGGTGGAGCAGAAACGAGAGGGGCTAGGCGAGGCTCAAGGGCCCGGCCCCTTTGGGAAGAGGATCGCCCGGCAGCGAGGCAAGAAAGCCGAGGCTCCCCCCGGACTGCTAGGGCTGTTGTGAGCTGAGGGGGCGCTCCTCAAGTGGCGGTCGAGGGGCATTTACAGAGGCGCCTCTGTGCCCCTGGCAAAAAGAAGTGTTCTGCAACCGCTTACTTCGCGTAATGGATGAGCCGCCCCTGCCTGGGAGTCACCCTGGACCATGCTCTTACCTACAAGAAGCACTGCCTGAACATCAAGCAAAAAGTGGGTGCTAGAAATAATATCATACGAAAGCTGACTGGCACAACCTGGGAATCACAACCAGATACAGTGAAGACATCTGCAGTTAAAGTGATAACTCTGCTGGTGAGTACGCATGCCCAGTGTGGAACACATCTCACCACGCTAAAACAGTGGATGTGGCTCTTAATGAGACATGCCGCATTATCACGGGGTGCCTGCGCCCTACACCACTGGAGAAATTACACTGCTTAGCCGTACATTGCACCACCTGACATCCGCCAGGAAGTGGCAGCCAATAGTAAAAGGACCAAGGCAGAGACATCTCCAGCTCATCCCCTGTTTGGGTATCAGCCAGCACATCAACGACTTAAATCAAGAAATAGTTTTCTAAGATCTACAGAGACACTCGCTGGAACACCTCAGCAAGCGAGAGTCCAAAAGTGGCAGGCTCAAACCCAGAACCTCAACCAATGGCTGATACCAAATGAGAGACTCCCTCCTGGGCACACAGAGGACTGGGCGACTTGGAAGGCGCTGAACAGACTGCGCTCTGGCACCACGAGATGCAGAGCCAACCTTAAGAAATGGGGCTACAAAGTGGAATCCACAACATGCGAGTGTGGAGAAGAGCAAACCACTGACCACCTGCTGCAATGCAACCTGAGCCCTACCACATGCACAATGGAGGACCTTCTTGCGGCAACACCAGAGGCACTCCAAGTGGCCAGATACTGGTCAAAGGACATTTAATCAACTACAAAACTCACAAATTTTGTATTTTGTCTGATTTTTTTTTTTGCTTTGTTCTGTTAGAAATGTAATATAATTGACTGGTTTCACTGACACGATAAATAAATAAATAAAAAGTCTGCCTGGTGGCCCCCCTTCTCCTTAGCTTCGTCAGCTGAAGGTCCCAAGTTGGGTCCCCTCTTCACTCAGTGTTGGGGTTCCAGAAAAGGAGGCAACGGCATACAATTTTCAATTTGGTTTCATCTGGTGCATAGGCACTACAGTTCTATAATATTTATTTAACCTCAGCAGACTATAATCTCCGCAGTTCTATAATATCTATTTGAGCTGGATTATTACATCTATTATAGAACTCCAGTATGCTGATGACAACATCGTCTGTGCACATTCAGAATCATAGAATCATAGAGTTGGAAGAGACCTCATGGGCCATCCAGTCCAACCCCCTGCCAAGAAGCAGGAATATTGCATTCAAATCACCCCTGACAGATGGCCATCCAGCCTCTGTTTAAAAGCTTCCAAAGAAGGAGCCTCCACCACACTGGGGCAGAGAGTTCCACTGCTGAACAGCTCTCACAGTCAGGAAGTTCTTCCTAATGTTCAGATGGAATCTCCTCTCTTGCAGTTTGAAGCCATTGTTCCACGTCCTAGTCTCCAAGGAAGCAGAAAACAAGCTTGCTCCCTCCTCCCTGTGGCTTCCTCTCACATATTTATATATGGCTATCATATCCCCACTCATCCTTCTCTTCTTCAGGCTAAACATGCCCAGTTCCCTAAGCCGCTCCTCATAGGGCTTGTTCTCCAGACCCTTGATCATTTTAGTCGCTCTCCTCTGGACACATTCCAGCTTGTCAATATCTCTCTTCAATTGTGGTGCCCAGAATTAGACACAATATTCCAGGTGTGGTCTAACCAGAGCAGAATAGAGGGGTAGCATTACTTCCCTAGATCTAGACACTATGCTCCTATTGATGCAGGCCAAAATCCCATTGGCTTTTTTTGCCGCCACATCACATTGTTGGCTCATGTTTAACTTGTTGTCCACGAGGACTCCAAGATCTCCAAGATCTTTTTCACACGTACTGCTCTCGAGCCAGGCATTGTCCCCCATTCTGTATCTTTGCATTTTTTTTCTGCCTAAGTGGAGTATCTTGCATTTGTCCCTGTTGAACTTCATTTTGTTAGTTTTGGCCAATCATCTCTCTAATCTGTCAAGATCATTTTGAATCCTGCTCCTGTCCTCTGGAGTATTGGCTATCCCTCCCAAATCAGCATCTATGGGAGAGGTTTACACTGGATTAACATTCTCAATGTGGATGTAGCCTGAGACTGACTTGTGTAGATGGCTAAAAATCCAGCCACACTTTCTTATTTAACTGGAGCTCCTGGTTCTCTCAGTGTTTTCCTTTTTCACAACAGCCACTGCTATCATGAATACTGACTCACTCCACCTCTGCCCTTCAAGCTGTTGCATCCTCTCCTCTGTTGAATACGGACAGTGATGACTCAGCCCTGGAGAATGTCCTAGCTTGGATACTTAAAATATTTCACCGTGGTGTACATTGTTGGGTTCGATGCCTACAACTCAAGAGGGCCGAAGGCTTCAATTATATACTGCTGCTTTCAAAGGAGTACTTCCAAAAGGATGATGATATATTGAACTCACTTTTGGAAGGGGGGGGGGCGTGAAGAGTCATCAGAAGTGAATCATTTCTGAACCTCTGGCAAAAGTTCACATGAAAGGTGGGATCACACTTCTGTTAAAGCCAGCAAGCATTGGCTTTGATCCAGTGGTCAAGGCATACGCAGAACAGTTGAAGCTGCCTCAGCGTTCTTTTTAAAAGCTGAAATCCTACCAAACAATTGTTTGATTCAAAAGAAGATCAAGGGAACAGATTCTTCTCCCCTGCCACCATTTTTCCGAAACTGCTGATATGCAGGTTTCTGTCTTTTCTTTTTTTAAAAGGGTAAATTATATAGGAATTGTTGCTGGACTGAGCTGCAGTTTTACATGAACGATTGCACAAACAAATTCCTGTTCCTGCGTGCCGACACATAGACTCTCTCACACTGGACTGCACAAGGTGCGGCCACGGTTTTTATTTTTTGTTGTTGTTCGTTTAATGACAACTCAGTGTGCGTGTGTTTGCACATTCATACACATATAGGGAGTGAGTTGATGTGCAATTTCAGAGTAGTAAATATTATTATTATTATTATTATTATTATTATTATTATTATTATTATTAACTTTATTTATACCCCACAAAATCTCCCAATGCGGCTTACAAAGGCCAAGGCCACAACAACAACAGCATACAAATACAAAAATAAAACTCATAAGCAAAGAATGAAACATCAAGCAAAACAATAAAACACTAAAAACAGTGACACCATGACTCATTTAAAATCTAAAAGCCAGGCCAAATGTAATGGACAAAATTTAAAAGTGCTGGACTTGACAGGTAATATGTAGAGGTTTTTTGGAGGTAGCTGCAATGTGCAGACAATCCTAAATCTCTAACAAAGTGCATTTGGGACATGATGCCAGGAGTTTCCTATTCTGGAAAGGCACACTGGAACAGCCAGGTCTTCAGGCTCTTCCTAAAGATTGCCAACGTTGGGGCTTGTCTGATGTCCTTGGGGAGAGGGTTCCAGAGTCGGGGGACCACCACAGAGAAGGCCCTGTCCCTCGTCCCCACCAAACGCGCTTGCGACG